CAAGATAAAAAAAACCCTGGGTGAAGCAACAAAAAGAAAAAGAAAACCCAAACACTTGCCACATTTCTCTTAAATCAGACACAAAAAATACAATTTGACAAAAAACCCCCACAAAATCAACAAACAAACAAACAAACAAACAAACAAACACCAAACTAGTCGACCACCGCAATGCGCACTCCACCCTACACCAGGACGTGACTTTTTCACAGATGGAAGCTGTGGTCGACCACAGGTAAAAGATCCGTACAGCACAATGCTGATGGGTTCCAGCTACAGGTACGGCGACAGTCTTAGGTTCATGTGTCGGCTCGGCTACACACCCAGTCGCACTCCAGCTAGAATCACCTGTCTGACCACAGGGAAGTGGGACGGAGAGCCTGAATGTACAGGTGAGTGATGAAAAAAAATATCTCATACCTGGATACCTGGAGGTGTCATCTCTGGCTTAGAGGTTAACGTGCAATGACCCGTCATTGTTTACCACAGTCCCAAGCTGTGCCAAGCATTTTGCTATATTATTATTTAGCCCAGTCCATGCTTTGATGTTGTTGGCCCACTCTTACATACAACTTGGAGTGTTTACTTTAGGTTCATGGGTGCGTACATCTGACTGATGATGGTTAACAGAAAGTGTTCTGGGGGTTTTCTGTTTCTTTTACCTCTCTACGGCGGTTCTACAGAGCTAACCTTTCAATTTTAACATCCATACGCACATTTTAATATTTAATAATCATAGTAATAATAATATTATATCTCATGTGTTGTCTCACACTTTGACGCAGGTGTGCAGAGCAGGCCAGCTGTGAACAGATCTGTTAGGTGTTGACTTCTCCTTGTTTTTCCAAGGTTAACAAGATAACCCTCTTTTCTTCTCAGCAAACTGCAAACAAGGTTGTTTGAATGGAGGTCGTTGTCTCGGTTTGAACCGCTGTAAGTGCATGCCTGGTTGGGCAGGACGCCGCTGCGAGCTACGTGAGTTGTATTGCATGGTATTTGTATAGGTCTTGTAAACGCTATCTTAGAGTCCGGAACTCATTATCAGGATTTAACAGATCTCCAAAAAGGATAGATAGATAGATAGATAGATAGATAGATAGATAGATAGATAGATAGATAGATAGATAGATAGATAGATAGATAATGGATGTATGGATGGATGTATGGATGGATGGATGGATGGATGGATGGACGGACGGACGCACGGACGGACGGACGAATGTGTGAATGAATTGATGGATGTATGGATGGATGGGTGGGTGGGTGGGTGGGTGGATGGATGGATGGATGGATGGATGGATGG